CCTAATTAAAACAGGTAGGCCTTTTTTCAGACTCACACCCGCTTTCTGCAGCGGTCCCATGATGCCATCTGTCAAACACTCGTGACTCTTATCACACTGCTTACTGAGAGTGTGTAGTTTCTCTAATCAGTCTGAGCTTCTCACCAAGTTACTTTTTTTTAAGGTGGAGGAAATAGAGGTAAATAACGAATAATAGCACAAGATTTTTGGTGACAAACACAAAAAACTGCTTTAATGTGGAACATAAGAGAAATTTAGCTGAATCTTCATGCTGATTTTTCCATATATACACATTTTTTCCTCTCTCTCTCTCTCTCTCTCTCTCTATATATATATATATATATGTGCAATTCTGAGAAAAAAGGTCAGAATTTTAAGATATAATCTAAGATTTGCAAGTTATAAATTTGTTGTTCTGAGAAGAAAAAAGTCGCATTTAGCTTTTTATTTTTTTATGCTGAAAAATAGTTGCAATATGTAAACTCAGAATTCAGAGAAAAACGTAAGAATTTCAAGAAATGTTAGATTTTTTGTGAGAAAAGAAAATCTGAATTATGAAAATCACAATTTTTCAAGTTTTTATTCAATGACGGAAACAAGCTTCCAGAAAAAAGTCATAGTCACCATTCACTTTCATTGTATGGAAAAAGCATCATGAAATTAATAAACAATGGCAGAATTTCTGCTTGAACTATCTCTTTAATATTCATAATGTTTTGTTATGCTACAGACACAAAAATAAATGGATTTTTGCTTTTGTTTTACCTTTCAAGAGCAAGGTAAATTGCATTAAGGAGTGTTTTTAAACTCATATTTAACTATGAAAGAAGCCATCCATCTTTCCATTTAAGGAATAACGCACAACCGTCCCTTGCAGTTCATCATGACAGACTCACTTCGCATCCTTAAGCTATGCTTCCAATCTTGCACGCGCACAATGGGCAGATGTATTAAACAGCATCCCATTCATCCTCCCTCTGAAGATCCACATGCATGCAAAAAGCCGAAAGCATGCACGCCGTTACTGATTGCACGCGGTTATGCGTGCTTAGCATATTTTGCCCAGGACGCCATTGTGACAGAGTGCAGCTGAGAAATGTGCAGGGATTCATGATGAAGAGGGCAGTGATGTGTTAGCAGAACAGAACTGCTGAGTCTGGACTCGAACACAACGGCACACGTGGGGCTGTAGATGTGGAGCATATGAAAGCTTTAAATGTTAGCATGCTTAACTGGAAAACTAGACTAAACCTGCCAGAGGGAATCAATGAGATACACTGATGCAAGACTTTGGCCGCTATCATTAACAAAGAAATGCATCAGTCTAATTAACTGCAAAAAAAATCTTCATTAAATGTTAATTATGCTCACTGTTAGTTTTAGGACTGATCGGTTGTCGGTTGATTCAGTGTCTGGCTGTGTTCCAAAACCTAGTGAGATGGCTTGGTATCTACTGCTAACACAGTAATTCAGTTTATTTACTTTGGGGTATAAAAGTGTATACTTTACAGTGCATGTGACGTAAATGTCATCATCAGTCAGATTTTTCCCAAATATGCTGCTATGTTCAGAAATATTTTCAATGGTTAAATGAGTACAAAGACATTTTTTATTGGTCATAACCTAAGACCCATAAATAGCACAAAAAATACACAAGGATTAAACTTTCTAGTAGGGTGACCAAATGTGCTCTTTTTCCCGGAGACGTCCTGGCCAGGATTACTATATTGCCTAAAATATACATCAAAGTACCATGAGAGCAGATGACTTCTTATGCTTCTGAATCGCTCTTGCGGTACTTTGATGTCAGTGCTGCTTCAAGTCGAACACACCTAATATGTATGCGTATTTGCAGCGCTTTGACCATTCTCTATAGATCCCACCTTCTCACATGCCACGATTGGTCGTTTATGTACAATGCTTTCATGTTATTGGTCCAAATACTTTTCGATCATTACCTTCAGCAAGTATGAAAACAGGAAAACAAAGCCAAAGCCTGGATATTTTAGGCAATATACAAATCCTGGCCAGGACATGTCTGGGAAAAAGAGGACGTATGGTCACCATATTTCTAGCACATATGTCAAGTGCAGGTGTTCGCGTATGCTATCAAATATACTTTGAAAGGATATGCATTTGGCTGTATGCATGTCAAAGCTGAAGTATACATTAGGCTTAATGCAACATTCTAAGTGAGACTGGACATCTTGATTGATTTGGAATGCTGTACATACGTAGCAACTCTACACACCACATAATAGCACTGCACACAGGACACTCACATTTGATTCAGACAGATTTTGATGTTAGTATGATGCTAAGCTGATGACACAATCATCTGCCAATTTGTATATGCTTTTATTTCTCTTTTATTTCCAGCCATTTTGGAAATATTTTTGATAAGTTTGTTTTTGTATTTATTACTTAGATGAACAATTTTGTGAACTTAAACCTAATGAAATATTTCCTACAGGATCATAAACATCACAGAACAGCAATATTCTATGATTAGAGTGGATTGAAAATGAACATTCGGACAATGTCTGCTATCTTGTCTCCAAAATCTGAGGTAACTCAAAAAATCCTGAGGGAACTATGAAATTAATTATGAATTGTTTTAATTTATCTTAGTTTTTTTCCCCCCCTCCAATTTAAATGCTGAGAAAAGATGTCATAGCTGGTTAATGCTACAAAAGGGAAGGGTGGAGTCCAAAACTTGGGAGTGAAATGGAAGCTGATGCAGTTGTAACGTTTGGGTTTTACATAAGATTCATGTACGTTAGAGTGAGTTTAACTGGGTATTGAACAGTGAGCAACATTGTAGTGAGCAAGTCAGTTGAGGTTGGACAGTTTTAACAGCACTGACATAAAAAATGACAACCATTTGCCTCCATTAAGTAAAAAAGTACCTGAATTAGTTATGTGACTGTGGTCCGTATGAGATTGCTGCAAGATTTGATTTATCTGTTCTACAACTCCTTCCAAGGAAAGAAAGAATAAGTAGACAGCAGCAAAAGAAGAGGATAAGAGAAAGGAAGAGAAAACGGCAGACAGAAAGAAAAATGGAGGGGAGGGGACCAACAGAACAGCGTTACAGGACTAAATTCATTTTAAGCAACTTACAGAAAAAAATAGCAGTCGACCGACAAGGGTTTTTCAATGGCCGATGCCATTATTGCCAACACATGGAAGACCATAATTAGCTGTCACACAAGAGCAGCAACAATTTGTTGACCAAATCAATGCTTTGATATTTTTGTCTTACCATGTTTGTACATTTTGTGAATGATTTTGTATTTCGTAACTGTCAATTTTGCATGAACAGCTAAAATCCCATTTATTGGTTCTATTGTAACAACTTGCTCTGCTATTGCTACATTTGTGCAGACATTCACAAGAGTCATGTAACGTTCTAGTGAATATTTAAGCAAGTTCATTGTTGTCTTCTACCTCAAATGAGGACAATCGTTCTTTGTAAAGTTCTCATCGTTCTCTATTTAGAGTCTGATGAAGCTGGAGTGCTATATGTTGAACACATGCCCTACTGTCTTGCATACACATGTTTATTTTTGGTTTAAAACATATCATTAATGTGTGTTTCATGACTCCAGTGTGTAGTCTGCATCCCTGACCTACAAGTGACTTTTCTTCACTCACCTTGTGTTACTAACCCTTTGAAGTCCAGTAGGCTCTCATTACAGACACAGAATCACTGCTCTCGACTCTGATTGACTGACAGTGTGGAAATACCTTGCAGTCACTTATAGCTACAAGGCTTTTAGAGTACAATGTATGTGTGTACATACTGTATATGTGAGTGTGTGAGAACTACAAGGCTGTCACACTCCCCTCTCATCTTTTTCCTCAGGTCAAGAGAGCTGGCTGTCATCCATCCAAAAGAAAGCCTAAGATATAAAGTGAATGAGCTGTGAAAACCCCTTCAAAGATGCACTCAACAGCAGGAGGCTAATTTTGGTAACAGTTATAATACAGGCTCATTACCTTCCCCGTCAGTCAGCTTGAAAAAAGTCTGTGTGCCCTGTTTCAGGTGCTCAAACAGAAGCCTGACATCCATCTGACATGCAAATATTAAAACTGATCAAATACTTCCATGCTGGGAATAATGATTTAGACTCAATAGCTGATAAAATCTCAGATCAGTTGCTTTCTGACCGGCGTGATGGCTTTTACAAAGACGTCTCCCAGCGGTGATATGACTGTTTGTGGGTTTTAAAATAGCACCATCTGACAAACAAGGTGGTCTACAGGAAGTGTGGATCTGCAAGAAGAAGGTTTTAGCCTTTTTGCACCTTTCTGGCAATCTCTTGTTTCCAAATATAGCAGTATATTGTCCACTTTTCAACCTGTTTTAGGAATATATTGAAGCTTTATTGCATTGCTGTCCTACAATTTAGATTGACGAACCTTCAGACTAAAAGTCTGCCTAATCTCCCCCAAAAGACCTTGGAATGGCTTGACCCACTTTCTCTGGGGACCATCCAGTTTGAAAATCTCAGTCGGCTTCTGTTCCAGAGTTTTTTTTTTTTTGGTTCCGGATTGAACAGTTGTGACCTTTTCAAGAGATGAACTGAGAAAGAATCAGATCTGTATAAAACAGCTTTGTTTTTACATATTGCAATGCAGAAATTGTATTTTAGCAGTTTGGCTTTTGCGTGTGAAAAGTGTTTTTTTATTTTTTTTGAAAGATATAATGCTAATATAATAACAATAATATTCAGTGAATATGTAAATTTATCAAAATTAAAGCAAAGACTTTTATGTAACAAAATGTTCTATTCATCAAAAAATCCTTAAAACAATTACTAGTTTCCACAAAAATATTAAACAGCACAAAAATAAGAAATAATTATAAGAAAATAATTTTCTTAATAAGAAGAAATGTTTCTTGAGCACCAAAGCAACATATTAGAATTCTAAAGGACGATGTGGCACTGAGGACTGGAGTGATAGCTGTTGAAAATTTAGATTTGCCACACAGGAATAAATTACATTCTATATTAAAATAGAAAAAAAAGTTATTTTAAATTGTAATAATATTTCTCAATATTGCTGTTTTTATATTTTTTATAAAAAAATGCAGCCTTGGTGAGACCTTTTTCAAAAAACATAAAAAAAAGAGTACAGACCGCATATAATAATATAATTTCAATCACCCCTAACATGGATTGTACTATTGAAGTGAGAATTACAAGTGAGAAACTTGCAGTTGAGCATTTTTATGCATACTCAAGGTGTTCAAAATGCATGCATTAAAATGGTATAAAACATTACATTTTTATAACTTATTGTATTACCAACTGGTAACCAAATGCACCTAACTAAATTAATCTACTGGTCAAATATTTTGCTGTGATCCATGACAAAAATCAACACCATTTGAGTTATAGCAGTATGGGATGGTCATATGTAATGCAGATCTTCAGGAGTACACTTCAGTAATACAAGGGCTCTGAGGAGTTTAAAGTGGTGGAAGAACTGAAAAGACCCTCAAAAGACCATAGGCGATATTACTGAAGGGGGCAGGCTCATCATCAGAGACTTCAGCATAGAGATCAACAGAAGATCACCCTGCCCTAGTGGCACAAGGAATACAGAACACGCATACAAACACAAACAAGTTCTACACACTTCTACACCATTGATATGTTACAGGTCTGTCTGTACCGCCACAATTAAATTAGGCCTTGAACAGTTTCCCATGCTGCGTCCCTTGGGCAGAAATACATAACCGCACACAAACAGTCTGGAAAACCTCCTAACGAGAGCCCCTAGAGATGTCAGAGGCACTAAGACACAGACGCATACATATAAATATGAATGTACCCAAAAACGCCCTGGTAGACACACATGCTGTCGTGCTAATGCAGTGTGCTGGCTGTCCCTCATTTGCTTCTTTATTCAGTCTCTAGGCCTGACACACAGACACTCAGGCCAGTCTCACTTATCTGGCCTTCATAAAAAATGTGTGTGTGTGTGTGTGTGTGTTTGAGGTGTGTCGAGGTGACAGGTTAGGCAGCTCTTGACATCTTCTGAGGTTCTACACCCTTGGAAATTGACGAACAGATCCTGTCACATATCACCCACCCTCAGATGAGACCCTCACCCCCTTTCCACCAAAGTTGCGCTCATACCAGAACCAGTCAGGGCAAGTACAAAGTGCAAATGCAAATTTTTTTTTTTAAAGAAGTCTTTAGTGCTCATGAAAACTGCATTTATTTAATCAAAAATGCAGTAAAAACAAATCATAATATTGTGAATCATAATGATAATATTAATACAAAATAAAATGATTTTTTTATATTTTAATATATTTTAAAATGTAATTTATTCCCTTGATATAAAAGCTGAATTTTCAGCATCCATCACTCCAGACTTCAGTGTCACATGATCCTTCAGAAGTCATTCTAATATACTGATTTGTAATATACTGAACAGAAAACAATTCTTTTGAATTGTACTAATATTACACAATATTAGTTTTTAATTTTTTTTTATTTTTATTTATTTATTTTTATAAAATAAATGCAGCCTTGGTGAGTATAAAAGCCTTCTTTCAAAAACATTAAAATTTTTACATAACAAGAATATTTAAATAATAATTATTTAAAGAAATATCAATAACCATACAATAATAACCTAATATAATAATAATAATTTAAAATAAATTTGTATTTAAAATATTCTCTGACCCCTCATTTCCCTTCCCCCATCTCTTTCTCCTGTACTTCCCCATTCTCTCTCTTTCTGCTAATCCACACACATCCCCTCCATCCCAATTTATGGGGTTTGATGTCTTCAAATAAGGCTTGACAAAAAGGTCTGAGCATAGCAAAGCGAGCAGCCTGTAGCTATTACCTTTGTCTGGTTCTCTTTGCAGATTCACCCACTGCCTCAGGAAGGACCGCTGTGCTTTAATGAGGATTATGGGCCGCGCAAAGTTCAGACAGAACAATTCTACCGTCTCCCATTACTACAAAACATGAGACCGAGTCCAAATCTACATCTCTGTGGGTTTACATGTGAACTTAGTGTTTTGTAATTTAAGATTAATCATTGATGTGACCATATGTAATGGACAGATTAAATAGATAATTCACTAGAAAAGTAACATTTAATATAAACTATAGCAAAACTATGGGTTATAGGTTATATAATTTATCACTTTATTGCTTCTGGCTGGCTGCAGATGGGCTTTGTAGATTAACCAGGGCTCCTGACTGTGACTAAAAGGATCAAAATAATAAATGTGCGACAATAATTTAAAATGTTATCACAGTCAGGAAAACTTATGTGGTTTTGTTAGAGACACTCTAAGTTTGAGTGTGAGCTAGTGTTTCCTGTTAGCAACAACAAACACGGCGAGAGATGTGATGCCCGATTCGCGAGAATGTTCTTTAAATGAGTCAGTCAAAAAGAAGAGCTGGTTAGTGGTCAGTTTATCAGAGCTTTAACTCTGAGAACTCTGAGTTCAACTGACTCTCTGAACTGCAAGTCTTTTTAACTGTTATTGTGATTAGGTTTGAGAGATGTAAATAAATTGAATTAAACATTTAGATACATACAGAGTTTTGGTCATAATAAATAGTAATAAATAAATCTACAAAAATTCTTATTTGGCTGTTTACAGGTGTGCATTTCTGGGCAATATTGTGAAGCCTATGTATCTCAATGAAATGTACTTCAACCACTAGAATGGAATTTTTGCCTATAACGCAGAAAAGGTTGATACAAACCCACCTTTGCTTCTTTGTCATATTCTGTTCTGCCTAGAAAGAAAAAAATGGCTGCAATTCTCTGTGTTTGACCTGTCTCTTCTGTTGCTGTGTGAGATGAAGAGATGCGGTATTGAAGTGTCTGTAGTGTGTGACTCAGACTGAGGGTCCATCTGAAGGGTATGACAGTGTCATTATAGAACTAATCAGCAGACACTGGAGCGAACCATTTGTTTCTCTGTGAAATACGCATTCTGCTAATTGTTTATAGTCGTTAATCAAATTAGTGCACTGCTGACATCAGAGGGAAGAGGAGAATGTGCATGTGTATAATCAGGAAATATTACTCAGTCATTTTCACAGTTTTACATAAAAGGGACAAATTCAACAATCAATCCAATCATATATATATATATATATATATATATGTGTGTGTATATACAGTATATAGTCATGATGCTATTTTCAAATATCATTATTTTGTGTATTGGTTGTTTTAAAATATGTTAGCGTGCTTTAATGTTCAAAAAACACATTATTTTTCACATACAGTACTGTACATTATTGTAGCTCCTCTATGCCAAGTCTTTCTAAAACACATCGATTTCTACAAAGCCCCTCCTTCTGAAAAGCTCAGTGTGCTCTGATTGGCTAGCTGACCCAGTGCGTTGTGATTGGCCAAACATCTCAAGCATGTGTCGGAAATGTAATATCCCTTACCGTAATTGAGAGTTTTAGCTTCCAAGCAATGATAAAGACCGTCAGTTTTACCATATTAGTTCGAGCCCGAGTCAGATAAATCTGAAAATGCAGATGATCAAGCTGATCTTCTGGACTATTGTGATGTTTTTTATCAGATGTTTGAGCGCTCATTCTGACAGCACCCATTCACCGCAGAGGATCCATTGGTGAGCAAGTGATGTGATGCTAATGTATTTCTCCAAATCTGTTCCGATAAAGAAACACATCTACATCTTAAATGGCCTTAGGATTAGTACATTTTCAGCTAATTTTCATTTTGGAATGAACTTTTCCTTTATTGGTAATTTTCTTCAAGATTGAGTCTGGAGAAAGAATTTGATGCATTCACATTTATTTAGTGACAGATAATCATTAAAGAGGTCATATGATGTGTTTTCATGTTTTCCTTTTTCTTAAGTGTCTTGTGTATCTGTTTGTGCATGTATAAGATCTGCAAAGTCACAAAGCTCAAAGTCTCCCACAAAAGGATTTTTTATGTCTAAAAGAGAAAACTGATCCAGACCAGTGTTGCCAGATTGAATGGACAATTTCCAGCCCAAAAACTCACCAAAACCTGTCAAAATAATGTAATAGAATGTTACTGCCATGTCAATCAAGGTTGATAAGGACAATTTTTAACTCCTTAAAAAATAATGATGACAAAATAATATAAAAACTTATAAATTTACCAGGAAAACAGATCAAATCAGGGCAAATACATTAAAGAGAATTTAAGAATTTAAAATACATTAAGGTAATTTAAGATGTAGATGAGTTTGTATCTTTATCGGAACAGATTTGGAGAAATTTAGCATTACATCACTCTCTCACCAATGGATCCTCTGCAGTGAATGGGTGCCGTCAGAATGAGAGTCCAAACATCTGATAAAAACATCACAATAATCCAGAAGTTTATTAAGCGTTTTACTTTAAACCAGTTCTGTCCTTGTTCTAAGAGTAAAATGCTCAAAATGTACCTTATTCTTGTCTGAGACTGTGTCTTTCTCTGACTTGGTTGCTTAAACTGCGCTCATGTTTGAAGTGAGTGTATTTTGAGATTTGAGTGGTTCTCCGTTTCAAACCAGACATCACA